AATAATAATAAGAATAATAATAACAACAATAACGACAATAATAATAATAATAATAATAATAATAATAATAATAATAATAAGTAGTAGTAGTAGCAGTCGTCATCGTCAATAAGTCAATAAGTGAAGGTGCAAGGGAAACCCTGTGTGAATAGACTAAGTGAATAGACTAAGGGTGGGGGTGGAAGGGGGTATCTGTTACTGAGGGACCTAAGAGTAAGGCACTGAATTCCAGAGTAAGGCACGGCAGATGATTTACACCATTTGTATCTTTTGGTGACATAAATCTCTGTGGAAATCCTATCGAACTTGGAAATGAAAGCAGATAAAAGTTTGCCCGGTGCTGTTTCTCACGGGACAGGAATTACATTTCCTAAGAGCAGGCCTACCTTTCCACAAAAGGTTTTTGCTTTTAATACGAGACTCGATTCCAGCAGTAGCTCTCTCCTCCTCCTTCGCTAAATTAAAACATTCTGCCTCTTCATAACCTTACAGGATACTGGGGGGAGCCATCTGGAAGCCCCCTCCTCTCCTCCCAGTTGGCAGTAAGATGGTTTATGGCTTTGCGGCCACAGCAGCCATCTCTAGGCCTTCAACTGTTGTGGGAGTACCGTTCTCTATTGTGTTGGGACAACTTTTCCAACCTAAGCACGACTGAAGAGAAAGTGGGTGGGGTGGGCCTATAGCTTTCATGTCATGCCCCGAAATGCCCAGCCCAACATGAAAAGCTACAGCTGGTTCACACAGTAGTTCTGCCAAGCTGTAAGGATTTCTAAGGCTGCTTGTCTTGAGAGGCATATCCCCCACTTCTTGTCCCATCATATCCCCCATCATATCCCCCACTTCTCATCCCCTGAGGCTGCATGGAAGCTCTGCAGAAACCCAAAAACTTCTTCTTTGCAAGGGTTATAGATATAAAACAAAAAGATGTTGAGACTCTAGAAAGAGTGCAAAGAAGAGCAACCAGGATGATTAGGGGACTGGAGGCTGAAACATACGGTGAACGGTTGCAGGAACTGGGCCTGGCTAGTCTAGTGAAGAGAAGGACCAGGGGAGACAGAATAGCAGTTTTCCAATATTTGAGGGGCTGCCACAGAGAGGAGGAAGGGGTCAAGCTATTTTCCAAGGCACCCTAAGGCCAGACAAGGAATAAAGGAAGGAAACTGAACAAGGAGAGATTCAATCTGAAACAAGGAGAAATTTTCTGACAGTGAGAACAATCGACCCATGGAACAGAAGTTGTTTTTGGAGTTGTGGGAGCTTCATCACTGGAGGCTTTCAAGAAAAAACTGGGCTGCCATTTGTCAGAAATGGTGTAGGGCCTCCTGCTTGGGCAGGGTGGAGGTGGACTAGATGACCTACAAGGTCCCTTCCAACTCTGTAAGGGTGGAGGGAGGCTAAGAATCCAGAATTCTCGCTATGAAGAACAGCAAAGATGAATCCATCCAGAAGCCCCTAATATTAATGCTGTCCAGTGCAGTATTGATTAGAGGTTATCGTGAAAACCCCTTGCAGGTAGTCCTCGACTTACAATGTTCCTTCAATGTCTGCGCAAAGTTACAACAGTGCTGAAAAAAAAATCACTTATGACCATTTCTTCACACCTGTGACCGTTGCAGAATTCCCCATGGTCATGTGATCAAAATGCAGGTGCCTGGGCATTCCTATTTATGACGGTTGCAGAGTCCCGGAGTTTGTGAACACTTTTTGTGACCTTTTGATGAGCAAAGTCAATGGGGAAGCCAGATTGACAGCTAACAACCGTATTACTCACTTAACAACTACTGTGATTCACTTAACAGCCATGGGCAAGGAAGGTGGTAAAATTGGCCAAATCCAATTAACAACAGTCTCGTTTAGCAGCAGAAATTTTGGGCTCAATTGTCGCAATTGATACACTACCTGTACACTACCAATACACTAACTGTATTAGTTATAAACTAATATATAGGAATATGCCAATTATGGGTCTGTAATGCATAGTTCTGCAAAAAACAAAAGGGACATCCAAGGTTATGTCCATGCTGTACTGGAGGAGACAATCCTCGCCATGCTAGTTAGGCATAAAGTAAATTGTAGCTTGTTAATCGAGAGGACGCCATCCTTGGGAAAACGGCAGGAATTTCTAGATGGTGAAAACTAGAGCTAAAGCACATTCTGGTTGGGGACTAAAGATAAACTTAAATTTAAAAAAAAACCTTGGATTGCAGTCCTCAAAATGTATCTTCTCTATGTGGCACAACAGCCGCGCTCATAAATCAGAAGAATGACGGTCCATGTTACATGCTAGCTACCGTACTGTAAAATTCAGAAAAGCTGAATTGGATCCACGCTGGGTTCACACCCATCTTTATCTTCAGGGAAAACTTGTGGGAAAGCAATTGAGTGTCTCCCCCCCCCCCCCCACACACACACACACTTCTTCTCAAGTGTCATGATGACCCAGAATGCCTTTTGCAAAATGACAGCCAACCCCAAATGATGGGCAGGCCACCCAGAAGGGCTGTGTCGCTGCTGGCCTCCAGAACATTTTTCCAGTTCTTTTAGTGCTAGGTAATAACTGGATCAGCACATTCCCCCTAACATCTGCTACTGGTTCAGAACACTCGTTCTCATTCCCCTGTTTTCCCTCCCCGTGATCTGACAGAGCTTCTTGGATGTTATTAACTGAAACTCTCCTCAGTTTTGTCAGATCTAATCGAAAATGATCTGGAGCTTGGAGGCCTTAAGATCAGTTCTGGAAAGGAAACAACCTTGCTAGTTAAACAATACATGTCCAGGTGGAGGGAAAAAAATTCATGAAGATG